CTTCACACAAGTGCCAGGAGTAGGAGTTTAGTGCTACTAAGATCCTTGAAGACCCAAACCACAATGTCCTCAGTCCACCAATGGAAAACCAAAGTGGAAACCATTAACTCTCGAGACACTGGAATTTGCATACCAGACACCATGCCGTATCTATGAACAGACCCAGGACAGTGGGGAGAGCAAAGTGCTTCTAGATATCTTATGGTTTGTCCAGTCTTTGTCAGTCTCTGCAGTGACTTGAACTGCATTGTATCAGCTGCAGAGTCAACAGAAGACAATCAAATGCTTTGTCTATCTGCAACACAGCACACTCCTCTGAGCTCTGGCTAGGCCCAAGTCTCTCCAGCGCATTCAATCCTTGTGTTCTGAAGGGGGCCGGTGGCACTCAGTAAGTGATTGGGAAAAAATGGATGAATGAATGCATTAATAGAAGGGAGGAAGAACTTCATTATTTCTACTCACTGTCTCTGCATTATTGCAAGGAGGAAAGCTGACAAAGTAAACCAGGACAGGACTCAATAATAGAAAATGGCAGAGAACAACAAAACTTTGTTTACTCAACACAATCATTGAGACAAATGAACAGAGAGAAGGCTCTAGTATGCGAAGACTCCTGGTTATAGCGTAGATGGGGTAGCCAGCAGGAAAGGTAAGTATACGAAGAGTTGGCACTAGGAAGAACGTAACATGAAGACTGATTGTGCAGATTTCAGGAGTTCGCTTATCAGCAACCAAAGGCTACAAGCTCCTTCCATTACAGATCATGCACAAGCAGTGTGACTTCTTCCAAGTGGGACGACAGTGAGTGTCCTCACGGGTTTGCACAGAATGAGAAATCAATCAGCCAAGAAGCACTTATTGTACTAAACATGTCCTTTAAAAGTATTTTCATGTAATAAATAAGCTGAGATGCCATTAGCACTGCTGAAAGCAAAGCTGTATTTTCCAGATTTTACATTTAGATGGGCTTGATTGGAATTCTTTGAGTTCACTCCAGCAACCATTGGACCAATTGTTTTAACCAAGTGGCTTCTTTAAGCACAGCAGTGCAACGAGGTTAAATGCCTACTCCTTGCATCAAGTGTGGGGAGCCTGGGCTGAAGGTAATTCTCTAAGACTTGGCTCCACTGCTATTTCTCATCAATGGCACCAAACACGGCCAACTGCATCCAAGGGGTGTAAGAATCGGGCTCTTGTTACTGGAATCAAAAGGACTAAATAGGAGCTGGGCTGCTGTTTTACTGGCACAAGACCCTTAATCCCCTTACCGTGGGCACAACGGCAAGTTGTTCCTTTCAGATCACAAGACTTATCCTGGAAGAATTAGGCAGAGGAAGAAATCCATTCCATGCCCGCCGAGCTCAGAAAGAGAATACTATGCCTGAGTTAGACTTCCACCTCTTGGTAAAAATGAGAAATTACCCTTTAAAAAACAATTTTTGAATAAACTTGAAGTAGAATAAACTTTAGATTCTAGTTACCTTAGAAACTGCTGTCAATATTTTAAAATCCTTGTGACTTGCAACTTAGATAAATAAGTCCTGGAGATCTAATACATAGTATAGTAATTACAGACAACAATGCTCTATTTTAAATGTTAACTTGCTGAGAAACTCAATCTTTATTGTTGGCACTACAAAACAAAAATGATAATTATGTGAGTTATAGGGAGAGGTGTTAGCTAATGCTACAATGAATCATATTGCAATTATAAATGCATCAAATCTACATACTGTGCACCTTAAACTACACAATTTTATTCATCAAAGGTTTTTCCATGAAAAACATGGAAACATGCAGCTGTTTCACTAAATCTGGCATCCATCTCACTGTGTAACTTACAACCTCTGGTTGATATCTTCAACCAAAGCCCCATGAAAACCTCAAGTTAACCTGACCTATTGAAACCAGAACCTTCTATCACTACATCTTTTCATCCATCTTCTATTCTTAATACACACACACACACACACACACACACACACGCGCACACACACGGGGGGGGGGATGCACACAGAGTAAATAAGAAGCAAGCATTTCCTATCAACAAATGTACCAAATTACTTCACAGAAGTTGCCTTTTTCCATCACTGCTAATCTGCCCATCATTTTTACCAGAGTCAGCGTGTTGGGTGTGAGACCTGTGCAGCCACAGGTCTGCAGAAACGCCCTTCCAGCCCTTCAGAAGCGCCTACCCTTAGTGTAATGCACTGCATTTCATCAGGCACTCGGCCCTGACATGCCCTAGCCCTCTTGACTTGCACAGGCCCAAGCACACAATACCACAGGGGAGTGCTGTACAGAGGAACCACAGCACTCGGTTTTTCCCTCTATGCTTCCACCTGATGTCTCACATTAACTGCAGCCCCAGGCACATAGTAGGTTTTCAACAGCAGTTACTTCATTCTATGGACCCAAGCCCAGCAAATGCAGTTCATCGGGTGAACCTGCGTAGAACACAGGGAAGAGAGAGCTAGGGTGTCCTACCCTCGCCCCTGGGAGCTCTGCCGGTCGCCTCCCCTCCCTGACAGCCTGTGTAGCAGACGGTGGAGCTTTGCGGTCACTTCTCCCTATCGGAGAGTTCAAGCCCATCTAACCCTAAAATCATCAGAACCTTCTTCCTGCCTGGAGCGTGGAGCTTCTCCCTCCAGCAGTGCCAGCCAGAGTGGCCTCCATCTTTGTCCCTGCCCCACTTCCTCCACACCTGCCCTGCAACACCCCTCACCACCAAACTTCATTCTTGCTCATTTAGGGACAGGGGTTGGAGAGAGGGCAGGACGCAGAGCCGGGCTCCACCAGCATGTGAAACACAGTCTGCCCATTGGACAGCCATTCCCCACCGCCCCCAACCTGGGCAGTCTTGCTGGGGCTCGCAATGCCTGTTCCTTTATTCGGAAAGTTTGTCGGCCATTGATCTAGTTTTGCACTTCATTTTTCTCAACTGATATTGGCAACAAAAGTTCCCCCACACACTGCACCGATTCCTAGTCAAATGCCTTTGCCACTAAACTAGATGGGATATTAAGGCTCCCACGGTGACCCGGGTTCTGAAAAACATAATACATATGAAAAGTAACTTCCCCGTGTCAACCTGCAATGTTACAGATTTATTTTTTTCCTAACATGTGATTTAACACAGCCATTCACAAGGAGAAATTTAGGCACTTAGAGAAAAAGTAAGTAGTTGAATGAGCACAGCAATGTATAAAATCTGTAGAAAAAGAAGAGCGAGAAGAACAAAGAGACTATTTCAGGAGTTACTATTGATAGATGATGAGCAGCTTTTTTCCTTATATGTTTTCTTCTCAATTTTTTATAATACAATCGCCTATATTTTATGGGTTGTTTCAAAAGATACTATAAGTAGTTGTGGAGGAATGTTGTGGTTTAACGGTATATGATACTAACATTTTTTTTCTAAAATTCTACAACATAAGAATATAGTTATTTTAGGACATAACTTTGTTTTACTATATACCTACTTTTCATTTTTTGAATCATTGAATATACTACCTATTTAAAAGACACGTGTATACATGTGTGTACACACAAACACCTACATCATCTATTTATTTTGTCCCACCCAACTCCACTCCTGTGTCATTCTTTATAGTCACAGCCCATGCATCAGACACTGGGGGTTTCAGGAAGACCAGTAAATAGCAACCCTCTCTGCCAAGCTCTGGCCCATCACAGCATGAAGACAAAATAATGAAGCTGACAGAAATCACAATAAAAGTCTGGGTTGGAGGTATGACTTTAATCAGGAGGCAAACTTCCTTCCTAATTAAAACAAAATCCTAAAGTGATAAAGTTCTTCCACAGTGTCCACTAGAGCTGAGCTAAGCCAGGTGTCAGCACATGCTGAAGTACATGCAAGATGTTTGCCACCTCCTGTGATCCGGCACCTGCCAAGCCCAACAGTGCTCAGCCATACCAGCACACGTGGCATCACAGGCACCGTTCCTGCCCGGCGGAGCCTGACTCTCTAGCGTAGGGGATTGCATGGGAAAATGCTGCTGCCTGAGGGGCTCCTAAAGAGAAGGGAATCCCCACCCCTGTTTCTCCTTCTAGCTCATCAATCCCATCTGTCATTTAGTCTTTCAAGGTGAAGAGGGTGGGAGGTGCGGAGAGAAACCAGGAGCATCGCCCTGATCACAAATAGGGCTGAAAGGAAACATCACAAATAAAGAAGATTCCTCTGGAAGAAATGATAAAAATGGAACACTATTAAATAAAAATTGTAATAAAGCTTTTTAAGAAAACAAGGGACTCTGGCAGATACCAAGGGGGGGATGAACCTATACATAGTTAGGGTTATTTTCAAAATGGGTTGAATTGTCGCTCCAAGCTCCCCCCAAATCATATCTTGAAGACCTAACCACAAGCATGACTGCATTCAGAGACAGCATTATAAGGAGGTCATTAAGGTTAAATGAAGTCACAAAAGAGGCCTCTCTGTGCGTCTCCCCTTGCCCCCTATCAAGAAGAGGTCACGAGCACACGGCCAGGCACACTGCCTGTGAGGCACACAGAAAGGCCTCAGAAGGAACCCTACTTGCCAGCACCTTGGTTATGGATTTCCCAGTCTCTGCAACCATGAGAAATAAATTTCTGTTGTTTAAGCCACCCAGTCAGTGGAATTTTGTTATGGTAGCCTGAACAGACTGAAGCAATGAGTGTAGAGCGCTCTCTCTCTCTCTCTCTCTCTCTCTCTAGCTATCAGCAAGGGAAATATATAACAACAAAAATGTAGAAGGCTTGTGACATATGACTGCAATTTTTTTTTAATATTTACCTTCACAGTGCCTATTGAACAAAAGCCAGTATAGGAACGTGACATAAACTATAAGCTGAGTTACAAAAGCTTTTTTCAATGTTAAATTAAAATACGAATCCCTTAAAAATAGGTTAATATGTTATTTTTTCAACACTGAGTTTTGAATTAATGAATTGTCTCAAATACTGCAAATAATCAGTTAAGATTTGTAACTACTTACTCTGTGTTTTCTCTGTTGGGAACTTTCCTCATGGAGAAAGCCACCATTGCTTTGAAGAGATATTCCTCATTTGTATCCCAGGCATACTGAAAGAGAAGTAAAGCAGAAAATGCAACCTGAAGAGGCATATGGGGTACAAAATGGCCTACTGGAATCTAACTGCGGCCATGGAGTAGGTTCTCTCTCTCTCACACACATGCCCGCACAGGCACGCACGCACGTGCGCTCTCTCTCTCTCTCTCTCTCTCTCTCTCTCTCTCTCACAATAATGTTCAGGAGAGGGTTTCCTGGACATCCTGTCATTCCAAGTGTGCTACATCTTCCACTGCGCTATCTTCTTCAGAGCCTGGCTTATGAGTCACAGTCCGTGTCTGTGGGGACCTGGGCATGTCATCCTGGACATATATACAGCTCCCGTCCCTCTTTCTTGCTTCCCTTGTAAACTCACTCTCCCTCTCGGTTTCCTTTTATTAACACTGGTACAATTTTATTTTCTTAGCTGGAAACTTGAGTATGTGTGCATGTTACGGGCTGAATTTCCCCCACCTCCACCACCACCACCACCACCACCACCACCACCATTCCCCACCCCACCCACAATTTATAAGTTGAAGCCCTAAATCCCAGAACCTCGGAATGTGACCGAACTTGGACATAGTCTTTAAGAGGTGATTAGGTAAATTGCAATCATTCAGGTGGGCCCTAAACCAATATGACTGGTGTCCTTATAAGAAGAAGTTGAGGCACAGACAAGGACAGCGGGCGAAGACAGCATCTACAAGTCAGGAGAGAGGCTTGGAACAAATCCTTCCCCCACAGACCTCAGAAGGAACAAACCCTGCCGACACTCTGATCTGGGATTTCTAGCCTCTAGAACAGAGAGGCGATAAATTGCTGCTGTTCAAAGCACACAATCTGTGATACCTGTTTCAGCTGCCTTAGGCGAGTGATCAAGTGTAACTGGAGAAAGTCACAAAACAGGGTTTGCCAGTTTAAGAAAATTCATGACCCTCAAATGGCCTAGGAAGCCCTAACCCTGACACTTCTCTGTCAGCTCTCTCTCAAGGCTCAGAACAACTACTTTACACCTTCTTCAGGGACCCCAAATCTCAATGCTTTCCCTTACACCTCACTTTCACTGATGCTCTTGCTTAAAGCTTTATAGATACATCTCAAGTCATCCATTTAAACTCCCCCATAGGGCCTCCCCCGTGGTGCAGGCGGTTGGGCACAGCACTGTGAAGCTGTCCACAGCCTCTGCAGCACGGGTTCTATCCCGGCCGGCCGGCAAGATACCCACATGGCGGAGCAGACCTCTCCTGTATACCCGCTGCTCCCCTCAGCAGTGTGTTTCAGTCGGTCTGCCTGTTCTGTTCCCCACTCTGTCTCTGGTGAGTCCTCTCACCCTCCCGCACATCTGGCCTGTACCCCGGGTCTTGTATGCATGAATAAAAAATCTTTAACACAATAATAAATAAATAAACTCCCCCACAGCCCTGCCACCAAATACAAAGCATCCTCCAGAGACACACATCCTCCCAGCAGACCCTGGGGCGGTGTTCGCTCCCTGTAAATGGCCACGTGGTCCACCTCATTAGGAATGATTCCCTTCTGCCCTCCTTAGGATCTGGACATCCATTTGCCCTCTTCTCTGTGTATTTCACGTTGACTGGAGTCTGTCCCCTGACTTTGGACCATGCTCAATTCTTTCCCACGAAAGCAACAGCAAACCAAATTTACTCAGCCTTCCCCCTTCCAGCCCTTCCGCCTAGTGCTCTCTCTCGCCTGCCCCGCACAGCCAAAATTCTCAAAGGAGTTGTCCACACTGCTACCTTTACTGGCTCAGGACCCACTTATTCTTCACCCCCTCCACTATCTGTCTTCCTCCTCTGCCACTCCACAAAATGGCTCTCAAGTCCCCAGTGGCCTCCGTGGTGTTGGACACAAGGGGCACTTTTCAGTCTCATCTTGCTTGGCCTCTTAAGAACACTCCCTCCATCTTCAAGCATCCTCTTCCCTTTTCTCTTACAACATTCTCCTGGCCTTCCTCCTACCCCTCTGGCCCCCTCAGCAGGTTCACTGTCTTCTACAAGGGCTTCAAGTTCTAGAGAAGCTCCAAGGCCTACACTACACCGTCCCCCTGCCACGCTGCACTTTCCCCCTCAGTACTGTCATCCACTCCAGGCTTCCATTACCATTTTAGTGCAAGTGACTCAGGAACGTATATTGCAAGCCAGCTCTGCCCCTGCCATTCGTCAATAAGAACTCAAACTCAGTAAATCCAAAATTAAAGTCAAGATTTTCTTGCCTTTACCTGGTTACTGATTCACAATGGAGCATTAGCACCCAGTTGCAGTTAGGAAAAAATCTCCCCCTTGACCCCTCCACCTTCCTACTTCATCAAACCATCCCTGTGGCCCTCCAATCCCTTCACTACGCTCGTTCCGCCGACACACTGCAGGCAACTGAATGCCATCTCTTGCCTCCACTATGCCAATTGCCTCCTCAGGGGTTCCTCCTTTCTACTCCGGTTCACTCCAATCTGTCTTCCACGATGTGGCCAACTGTCTCCCAAACACTAATTCTATGATGACATAAAACTTCCACTTGCTTTAAAGACAATATCAAAACTCCCTATAACCCAGTCCACATAGTCTTTGCCCTGACCTCACCTTTCTCGCTAAGCTCATCGCACCATGCACTTCCTCAGCGCTCATTCCAGACACCTCAGCCTTCCTCCCACCCTCTTTCTCACGGCACTCCTTACTGCAATAAGCATTTGCACATACTGTTCCCTCTGCCCTGTTTTCTTTTATCCTCAGGTTCACTTCTACTCACGCTTTGGCGCTCACAGCAAATGCCAGGTACTGCAGCCCGCACCCTGAGGAGGCCAGAGCCCCAAGGACTTCTCTTTCCTGTAGTAGTTGTCAAGACTGTACATTTCCATTGGGCTTGCTGAATATTTAATGGACAACCAATTCTCCCTTTACTACAAGTCCTAGGAGAGCAGGGACAAGACTGACTGTAGCTGCCAGTGCAGCTCCCCAGCCACCATGGTGCCTGCCCTCAGAGGATCCTGGGATAAGCGACCCTACCTGCCAGAACAGAGTGGATTCTGAAGCCAGACTTCCGCCTGGCTTCAAATCTTACCTCTGCCACTGGCTGAACTGAGATCTTAAGCAGGTCCCTTAATCTCTTTGTACCTCAGATTTCTCATCCATCCACTGGGAATGGGAATACCTGCACTACCGTCCTCAAAAGGTTGTTGAGAGGGTTCAATGAGCTGATGTGAACAAAGTGCTTACTTAGAAGGGTCCCAGTTAGAAAATCAAACTAAGTTCTCAATAAATCCTGGCTGTTGTAACGACCATTACCCATTGGGTGAATAAAGCAACGTGTTGGGAGGATGGCCTGTAAACACAACGCCTCTAAGCCCCAGAGCGCCTTTATGTTTTCTAGCCAGAGGCATTTTAATATTGCCTTCTGCTGGAGAACAAGTTTCACAGGCCACACTGGGAAAGGGAAGCTAGCATTATACAAAAGCTCTCCTCCTATAGCTATAGGAGTGCTGTGAGTATTTTTTAGCTTTAATTTAGGCTGTATTTCACATTATTGCTGTGAAGAACAGAAGAAACTTCACATTAGAATGGGAAGTGTTTTGTGCCATGAAAGAACGTATGTGGGTAGATCCAATCCCTCTTTTCAGTGACGGGAAAACTGGGGCTGACAAATTCGAATGACACAACAGTGCAGAGCTAGAATCCAATCCAGACCTGTGCGCCTGACTCAGACACCCTGGCTTGAACATTCAAGTCTGCTGAACTGTTATGTCTGATGCAAAATTTCACTTATTGTTTAGCATATACTGCAGGTTAATGGCTTTAGGGAAAATCATTTTAGTATCAATTTCTATTTTCCTGTAAGTTTTTTTCACTTGAACAAAAAGTCAGATTTGAGGTCTACAGAAGTAATCCATGCAAATTTAGGATAACTCTGCAGGGACTGATGAATAGAGAAAGCACAGTTAGTAGCAAACAGAATTTCCAATGAATATGTAAGTTCTCCACTTACCGCATTCTCTCCCAGAGCTGTTCTGATACTAAGCCTCACTTTAAAAGCATTTTCTGCATCTGCCAAAAAGAAAAGAGAGAGCAGTACAAGATTATAAAATCTGCCCACAGCCTGACAAATATTAATATTTCATGCAACTCAAATCAACAGAACACAGAACTACCATTCCACTGTCCCCTAATACTTGAACTACAATCATCTTAGATGGTTTCAAGTTTTCTTTCCAATCCATAAAAGTTGCAGGCTCACCTTTTAAGTCACAACACGTCCCCAGATTTAGAAAAACAAAAAGGTTTTTCAGTCAAAGATGTGTCAATCACTTAGAAAACTGTTCATCTATTTTGAAGTTACAAGGCTGCTTACCTGGTTGACAGAGTTCAGCGTGAATAGCAGTCACCACAAAAAAGAGCAACCACAACATTCTTTCAGAGTGGAAAACACAAGGCAAAAGGAGGGGAAAAAATCCACTCTCCATTTAAAGCTGCCTTAGCCATTCTGTGACCCGGATTAGAATATCAGAGAAACAAGCTAGCCACCACCTAAAAGGTTTAATGATTAACCCCCATCATTTGGGTTAATACTTTGATGGAAGCAGCCCATCTCCTGTCAGTTATTTACAGAAATCTGTTTGGAAAACAGATTAGTTGTCCTTCCCAAACTCTACCTGCAAAGAATGTTTCCTCTGCTGACTCAAAGCTGGAATCCTCCCACGACCCTAGTGCTGTCTGGGACGAGTCCTCCCTGCTGGGTTTGTCAGGAACCTTCCTTCTTTGCAGGGCTCAAATACCTGGCTCACAGATAAGTTATCTTAATTAGGGAAACAAACATCACTCCTCTGTCTGTGTCCCTGCCCCTGCCCCTCCAAAATGCCTCACCTGACTCACACCTCTGCAGGGAAACAAACACCTGAGGGGAGCTTGCAGCTCAAAGGGAATGGACGTGGTCAGCCCTGAGGTCTGGCGCTTGTGCAAAAGCAAGGTTCACAGTGTAGAGCGAGCTGTCCACTGGAACATTCTGTGCTGATGGACATGTTCTCCTCTGCACTGTTCAACATGGTGGCCACTAGGCAGAGGTGCTGGGGACCCCTGAAATGGGGCCAGTGGCACTGAGAAACGAACTGTCAATTCAGTTCAGGGAAGCAGACACTGGGCCAGCGAGGGCCTTGGTCCGGCCGGTGGTAGGATGGGAGTCAGGAGCTGCCTACCACGAACAGGCTTTGCTGGGAAATGTCTCCGACCCTGCAAACAACACCTCACAGCCGCTGCTGGTATTCATCTCCCTCGGGAGGAAACCGAGAGCTGGCAGCAAGGCACTGGTGGCCACAGGGCGGTGGAGTGGGTGTCAGGCCCCCAGCTGGTGACTGACACTTGAACCCCGTCTCCACCCTGAACCGCACCGCGCCTAGGTCATCACTGGTCCAAACAGAAATTGCCCCGAAGCCTCAGCCGTGCTCTGGGCATTCCCAGAACGAGTGGAAGAGACTCTTCCCCCTAGTGGGCTTGCTCCAGAGGCCTCTGGAAGCTTCCCAGCGGGGCCACGTCAGGGCTTTCCTTGCCACCACGCTGCCTCTTCGCGAATTCGGTTCCCCAATCCCACCTCCTTGCTTGAAAACCAGGAACGGAAAAATGACACCAGAGGATTCTGATGTTCAACAGAACATTTGGATTTTTGAAGCAAAAAGAAAAAGGCAACAACACTCCAGCAACACTCCGAGGGCCCGCCGTACCCTTGGTAGCCCAGGTAGCCCGTTTCCCTTCAGCAGCTCCACCCGAGGAAGCGCTTTCTCCTGCCCTCCCTTCGCCCCCAAGGGCAGGCCCAGGAAAAGCTGCACCAGAGGGGGAGGCAGCCCAATCTTAGCCCCCTCACTGCAGCAATTGCAAGATGCGGTGAAGTGGAAATTTCCTAGAAGGAAGACCTCCCCTAACCAACCCTTGAAAACAGTCAGGCTGGATGCAGTTATCTGGGGAAAGGCTGGACTAGATAAAGCCAGCCGGGAAGGAAAAGCCACCAGGTGGGGATGATAACGAAGCCCAGTGATTTCTTCCTTGAAAGAACAAAGCCATGGCAGAGACAGGAATCGGATGAGCTTTCCTGGAGTCTCACACCTCGCCAGAGCACCCACTCTCTCTCCTTTGCTTTCACTTTGTCACTTGTGAAGACAGTAAAAAGCGGTTCTAGTGGGTGTAAGCCATTCATGTGAAAAGAGGAGAAAACCTCTTCTCCTTTGAATTATGATTTCTCATTTTCAAAAAATTGAAAAAGAGCAATAAATGTTCTTTATAGAAAATACAGAGAGGCAAAAAGAGAAAAGTACAAAACATCCCAAATACCACCGGCCTGGATGAGCACTGTGAGTGCATCTGAACGGTCAGCACCTGCTTCCCCAGTCTCGGGTCTTCTTGCACGTTCTCGTGCCATGCTGTTGTTTTGTCTGGCTGCGGCCTTGCCATCGGAACAAGGTGGCCTCGTGGTGGGAATGACCAGGACCCTTGTCTTCTTCCTTACTCTGATGGGAAAGCAGCTCCACAGGGTCTAGCGTACCATTTTCAATTCAAAATGTCATCACATAAAAGGATCCTTTAATCTCTCGTTTACCAAAAATCTTATCAATGACTGATGTTGAATTTGCTCAATTGCCTTTTCAGTCTCTACTGATCCCAGGATTTTTACAACTTGGTGCATTATATTAATATATATCTTTGTATTGATCCACTCTCTTGATAAATTCAGACTGTTGATTTGTAACATGCTTCGGGAATTAATCACTGTCCCCCATCCACTTAGGCTTTGAAATCTATTTTCATAGCAGCTATCGAATAGGTTCTTTCGCAAGTGCCAATTCATGGCGTTGATTTTTTCCTGCCCTTATATCACCCTCTTGAAAACAGTATAGAAAGATATCTTTTTTTTTTTTTTAAGAAAGATGTCTAACATCATCAGTGTTTAGAGATTTTTAGAAATGTAGAATGAAATCAGAATAGAGTTTAATCTGAATCACGTATTTTGGGAAACAAGAGTTCTTTCAAAATCTTCATTTCTTACATGGCACTTAGCACGGGTTCCATACTTTTGAGTCCACTTTGACTGCTTACAACTTCCAAGAAAGTGATTGATTTCACCAAGATTTTCCACTCTTCTCATGGACTTCAGATACTTTTCCCAGAAAACATTTGCACTCATTGCTATATTCCCTTTATGTTTTAGTGTATATATTAATTTTTATTTATTTTCCATCATTCTTGCGAAGGTTTATCTATTCTTGTTGTTTAAAGAACAAGATCTTGGATTTCATTTTCAATTCTTTTCTTTCTCTTTTCTGATACATTACTCTTAAATAACATACATTAAATTCTTACTCCTGTTGTCATTTACACTTGTTCTTTTTTATAACTCTTGGCTAATAGGTGTATTTACTTTTAATCTTTCTCAGTTATAAAGAAAATATCTCTGGCTATGAATTTTCCTTGGAATACTATTTTGACCACCTGACACACTTAGTATAGATGTACAGTGATCTCATTCTTATTTTCTAAATAGTCTTTTTTTTTTTTACATCCCCATCTTGGCTTAGGAAAGTTTCTGACAATAACTCAAGCGACAGCAGCCAAAAATGGAATGATTAAAATATTCACTCTTATAGGTCTTGCCAAGTGAACATAAAGACAAAAAGTACAATGATAAGACACTGTCAATAACCTAAAATATAAAAGCCCAGACAAGGTATGAATTACCTAGAAGGTGAAAAATATTTAACAATTAAAGAGTTTGATAGACAGTAAGATATTATTGCTCTTGCCTCAACATAGTCTTGTTTCTTCCACTTTTCAAAATCTTGCCCAGTCTTTTTCATGCACAATTTTAAGTATTAAACTTCCAGAGAATTCATATCAAACTTACCTCATCCAGTGCTCTTTTCACATATAAGAACATAATAATTCATTAGTAACGGTGGGAGTGCTGACAAATAAAGCAGCTTCATTCTGTGTATATGTTGCTATTTACTTCCAATGTTTAGAGTTTAGAGAACTTAGATAAAAAGTTGAGATTACTGTTGCCATGGGCAATACAACAGGCACCCAGTCTCCTCAGACAGGAAAAAGAAATTGATTTCTCCATGTTTTTCATACTCCACAACATTATTGAAAAGCAGTTTCTCGGCACATAACTATTGATCCACTGCTCTGGAGAGTAAATTAAATATGAGATCACACAAAAAGAAAACAAGTGAGTCGTTCTTTCGATTCATGCATGATGCTTTTTAAAGTTCATCAGAGTTGTAAAAGCATGTGGGGATATGAATGCTCCATTTACCTGCAATAAAACAAAAGGCAGGGAGGACCAATGTCACTTTTGAATTTTGACCCTGATTTTTCTGTTTCATTGTCACAAACAGAAATTCACTAAAACTATAGAAACTAAATCTACTAAAGGAAATGGAAACCATTTCAAATGAAACTTCACTCCGCATATTTTTATTATTGGGTGTTGGAAATGTACTGGTTGTAACACATTAAAAGAAATCAAATCTTAGTTGCTGAACATGGAAACTTTTTATAAGATCAAAATCTTGCACTTTTTAAGCTGACATCTTTTTTATGAATTATTTATGTACACATACAAGAGCTGGGGTACAGGCCAGAGATGTGGGGGGAGGGGGGAGAGGATTCCCCAGAGACAGAGTGGGGAACAGAACAGGCAGACTGACTGAAACGGCCAGGGATCGAACTCGTGCTGCAGAAGCTGCAGACAGCTTCATAGGTTGTGTCTTAACCACTTGCGCCACCAGGGAGGTCCCTAAGCTGACATCTTAATTAAATATTCCCAATCAACAATTTTTAGAATAGAAGCTGTAGAATTCTGAATAAACATAATCCTTCATAGTTTAAACTGGAATGAATATTAAGATGTTTGCAATAATTAGTCTATCCTCGGTGTAATTAAGAGACGAGAAAAAAATTACTCTCTTTAAACCATCAGCATTAAGGTGCATGGAAAGATAAAGTATTTTTGTCTGTTGTGAAAAATATTATATTTTAACTAAATGGTTCCAGCAGTTCTCAATCAGAGGCTATTTGGGGACTATTTGGAGACTTTGTGGTTGTCCCATTGGGGAGGGTGCTATTGGCATCTAGTGGGTAGAGGCCGGAGATGCTGCTCAACAGTCCACAAACTTTAGAAATATCATTTAGACCTTTATCTGATAACTTTTTTCTCCTTGTCTTTGGGTTGATAGAAATAGTTCACAAAAGGATGAGAGATAAGATGGAACTCTGTGTGTGTGTGTGTGTGTGTGTGTGTGTGTGTAAAATCAAGCATGCTGTAAGATTTTAATACCATTAGATTCTGAAATTATTATTAAAAATAAACTAATTTCTCCTTTTATTAAGATGGCTAATAAGAAAGAATAGTTGCCTGGTTGCTGGAACCCGGGTCACATACGGGCTGCAAGTGCAGCGCCAGCAGCCTGCAAACACGAAGTTCAGGCACACCCACAGCCCATCCACAGCCACAGAATGCTGTTTCCACCTCCCACTGTCCTTCTGCTCCTTGTCAGTTACATGGAAGTCACCCTCACATTCTAAGATCAGTCAGCACCCCAGGGCCAATGTCAGGGAAGTGCAGCTCTTAGGCCTGGAAGATCTGAAGCCAGCGGAGGCTTCTCAGAAGCATCTACTCTGACGCCTCCTTCCCGCCTTCCCCTGAGCCACTGGCCAGCTAGTCCCTCAGTGGGCCCTTTCCTGCCTCTGGCCTACCTGTGGGTTCGGCTCAAGCTATTTAATTTGAGCACCTATAAACGTCTTAGTTGTTGTTCCAAGTCTGCCTCCATGGCCACTTCCTCTGAGAAACCTTCCCTTTTTTTTGTTTATGATTTTATTTGGAGTAGCCTTGTCCAGTCCACAAGGCTCCCTGTGGTGTTTTGTTTACGTTTGGAGGTGTGAACTACTGCCCCCATGATTTACTTTTGTGTCCTACAAATGTCAAGTTCCTGAAGGGCAGGGACTTTTGGGTTCAATTTTGCATTTCTCAAGGCCCAGAAATATTTGGATTTCTAATAAATTGGTATTTGAATCATAACCTGGTATTTTAAGCAGCTCAAGACTGTGGAAATGAGGTACATTGCAAACATTTTTGTACATTCCTAGCCAAAGAAAAACAGCTTCCAGTATCTTGAATAAACATGGAACCCTGCGCTTTGGAATATTTTTTTCTCCACTCCCATAACTTATGCCCTTTTTAAGGTGAGAAAAAAATCTGAAGCTAGGACATTCAAAGGCTCATCAAATTTTGCAGGTTAATCAACAGCCATCACCATTATGAACTTTGTCTTATTTTCCACAGGCTAACATTTTTCTAGTTCAGAAAAAGTTAATTACTACTGTTCAGAAATAAAGATTAATTCAGACAAACTGAGTGTGTAATTCTGCCAACTTTATATTCCTAAGAAGGGAATTTAACAGAATGTGTTTGTGCCTGTCTCTGTGTCTCACCCTGCACACTCACTCATGAGCAGCCACATGTAATAAAGGCAAGGCCATGCTACATTTCTTCTAGATGGTTAACTCTTTCCACTGTTGCCTAGGTACTAGATTAAGAAATTTCACATGGTTGTGGCAAGTCATGTTTTTCTAGGCTAAAATTATTGCACCTGCGCTCAACAGGATACTATTTTCTCTCCATCTTCTATTTGGCTGCCAGTTAGCGTTACTACTGACGTATAACCCTGCCTCAAGGTACTGCTTTTGCCTGCCTCTGCAAAGGGGTGGAGGCCCCACCCCGCCATCTGCCTTTTAGATTAGGTGCTCTACTTTTCATGGCAGAACCTTGCCCTCGTTCTGCTGCATATACAAAACACATGAATGAAGCGACATACCAGAGTTTCTGCCCTTCAGTTTTGACCAGCAACAATGGCCTTGACCCTTCTACTATCTGAACATCATCAAAAGCCTCACAGTAAGAAGGGTGGTTCTGTGGCACTGCCTAAAAGACCTGCATACAAGACCCCTGTTCCTCCGAATCAGAGATGCGGGACAGGTTCTTGCTCACAGCCACTCACCCATCCTGCCTGGTCAATTGACCACAAAACTTTTTCCCTTTTGAGCCTGGACTCAGCCACAAAACGTGCCAACACAGTTAATCAACCAGTTGACATGCCAGTTGAAACCTGCTATCATGTGGAACGATGATCAAAAGCTGCCCTGAACAAAGCCAGATCGCCGAGAACATGGGATCCCGGCCGATCAGCACAAGCTGCAGCTCATAAAACTGTTGCAATGAGCTGTGTTTATGAGCAGAGCAAGCTGCTATTGAGGGGGGTCTGCATGAAACGCCCGAGGACACTTGCCCGAGGACACTTACTTGTTTCCCACTGCGTAGTTTCCAGCATCATCATGAGGAGGAGCCAGGATTTCTCTGGGAAGAAAAATCAAGAAAAACTATGCTTCTCAAAAACAAAAGTCCCGATTGGTTTTTATGTTATGAACACTGGACATCCTTGAAATGATGGTAGTTCTCTGTGTCTCTCTTTGCGCATTCAGAAGCTGAGCCTCAGATCTGTGGCCCACCTTGGACAACTGTTCAGAGCCCGGTGGCAAGCGATTGAGTGTTCATTTCTATCATTCACTGCCTTGCCCTCATTTCATGCGGGTGGTTCCATTCACTACTTCTTTTCTGCAGTGCTGTCTACTCTTGTAAAGCTGTCTCAAACCCTTGTGGCAAACAGTGAGGTAGCACTCATGACAGAAATGTCAATGCAGCAACATACACTGCCACACTGGGTCCCATTTCCTATGGGTTCATTTTTTTCAGGCCCAAAATGACTGGCACTTGAAACATTTTCCAGACATGAGACAGCCTTCTCAAGGTCAGGCTGAACTTATTAAGAATGTTCTGCTGAAAATTGTTCTTTCCCTGTGTCCCTTCTAGCTTGATATTGTGAATGTTCCCACCGCCTTCAAGGCCGAAATGGAAGGTGAAGGAAACTAATTTAAAACCTGCCCCGCGGGGCCTCCCCTGGTGGCGCAGCGGTTGAGCCAAAAAAAAAAAACAAAACCTGTCCTGCGGCCATTTGTGGCAGACCTTGGCCAAGGAGGGAGAAACTACCGCCCTCTGCAAAAAGTTCACTTTGCATGCTGATTCATTGAGAAAACGACTGTGGAAGGGGCTGCAGAAGATGCTGTGAAAATGGCTCCCTGTGTTGGCTGCCCCCAAATATTCCTTCCAACTGGATAGAGAGACCAGCACTTCCTTGTCCACCTCTCAGTCCATCCCCTGGCCCTTTTCTTGACTTTCCCTGTCCCATCCAACTTGGCTGCAAACTCCTGGCGCTGTATCTTGTCGCTGGGACACGTGCTCTGCAAACGCAAGGCTAACTAGAGGCTTGGGTGCAGCCTGCGCCGGCCAGGGGCGTCCCTTCAGAGATTTCTGATCGGGCACGGGGAGCTGGTGAGCCCCTTCACGTGCTCCTTTGGCCCCGGAACTGTAAATGGGGATGTATGGAGTAACCTCGGCGCGGGGGGGCTGCAAGCAGAGGGGTGCGCGCGGTGTCTCCACTGGCCCTGGACAGCAGGGGGGCGCCGGGCGCCTGGGGGTCACGGGAGGACGCCAGCGGGGTGTGTGCTCACTGCGTGCAGGGCCGAGCGCGCAGGGGCGGCTGCGGGGTCAAGGGAACACTATTGCCCTCGGCTCCTGGTTGTCCCGTGGCCCGTGTCTGCTCGCGCCGCGGCGTCCGGGCCGGAAGAACGTGGCTTTCCGACGCGGCCCCTGGAGGCTGGCTCCACGCTGGGGACGCGGCCGGGCTCCGCGCGCGCAGGCCCAGGCTCCGCCAGCAGGGGGAGCGCGGGAGGCGTCTCGCCCCGGGAAGCGAAAGTGGGAGGCCTGGGAACCCGGGCGCGGCAGCCGGGGCGGGGCCGCGTGGCGGCAGGGATTGGCCGGGCCGAGGGGCGTGGAGGCAGGAGGCCGGGCCGGCGGGGCGGGCCTGGCCCGTGGGAAGAGGGCGGCGCGGCCTCGCGAGGGAGGGGCGTGGGCTGAAAGGGCGGGCTGGCTCCGAGCTGCGGGGCGCGGCGGCGCCGCACGGGAGGGCCCCCTAAGGTCGGCCGAGCTTACGGGAGGGCCGAGCCCTGGCTGAGCGTGGACTCAGCCGCGAGGGCAGCAAGGCCAGGGGCACCCGGGAGGCGCGCGAGGAGGGCGGCCACTCGGGCGCCACAGGGAGGAGCCAGGGCGCCCGTGAAGCGCGAGATGGGCGGGGCTTCGGGGCGGGGCCTGCGAGGGGAGGCGGAGCCGCACGGCAGCGCCGGGGACGCACGGGCGTGCGGGAAGACGCCGTGAGGGAGGCGGAGCGCGGGGGCGGGCCGTGCACGTGGGGACGCGGCGCGCGCGTGGGCGTGGCTGTGTGGGGGGCGGAGGGCGGGGGGCGGGGCAAAGACGGTCCTGTTCCGAGGAGGCTGGGGCGGGGCGGGGCCGGGTTAGCGCGCGGGCGCCGGGCTGCCCGGAAGCAGCGGAGGTGTAGCCAGGGCGAAGAGCTGCGGCCCCGGGCTCCTGGCTGGACAGAGAGCTCGTGCAGGCTCCGGCGCGGGGAGCGTGTCCAGGGCGGGACTTAAAGCTTACAGGGACGCGGGCTGGACGGACTGGGGCGTGGCGGGTGTCAGCGAGTGACGTATCCGGCGTGAGGGGCGTGGCTATACGTAAGGGACGTGGACAAGATGGCCGCGCACAGGAGACTCGTGTTCCCATGCCAGGACAGCGGTTTGCGTTTAGGGAAACATGGGTACGATCTGCCGGCTTGTGGAGCGTGCACAGAGGAGGAACGTAATCTGCCAGAAAGGAGAGGGATCCCCTCGCGCGCGAACGTGCGTTGCGGTGGGTCCCGGAGCTGAGACAGCATTTGGCCCCGCGAATGGCCGCGGTCCGGCGGGCTTCTCTGAAAAAAGGAGGTAGGGAATCGCCCCTTCCCCGCTCTAACACTGTTCCTCCACTGTGAGGGTCGTCAGACACTTACACACCTTGAAGATTCAGTCCATTCCAGAAACCGAGGTACAGCAAGCTTTCACTCATTCACAACTGCAATGACACATTCATAGCCAGCCCCAGGGCAGGGAAGCTACAGCCTAACTGTGCCATGTGGACAAATCCCAACCTTCTCTACTCCTCAAGTCCTATCCCTTTTCTTTCGTATCCTGTCCTGGAGCTGGACGAGTGAAACTGCGAAATTCAGAAGTTGTTGGTGATTGCGATTCTTTGTAGCATGAGTTAATAGCTGTTCCTCGGAAGCTGCTTAAAAACTCGTTGTTATTAGTGTAATTCCCCCTCCTTCATTTTTGCTGAGAAAGTGACAAATTACGGAGAGATGACAGAAATGTGTATACCCTAATTGGGGTAAAATTCATTCTCTTTTCAGTCACTGAAAACCACTTTGCTTTTTGCTTCCCCTTCTTCCTTGGTTGACAATCTATCTCCATTTCTGCTGTTTAAAAGCCTTGCTGGCGTTTGGAGAGAAGTTAGAAATCTCTGGTGAGCGAGGCAGCGATGATGGCACCCATGAACTGCTGCAAGTTCCTTAAAACTGATACTGTTTTCTGCCTCCACTGGAGACCACAGAGATCGAACGTTCACCCTTCACACCCACCCCTTTCGGTCCTGGTAAAGAACCACGCTGTTCTTGACTGTTTGGGGAATGAAAACCTTTCCATTTACTAAGGCTTTTTCCTTTCCTCAGATTGTAAAGTACAGCACCTGGAATGAAAGTCACCCAAATACCAAAAACAGTAAGGGTGCTATTCCTGTGACTACACATATCTCCCCTAGTGTGCCTGGAGCCTGACAAAAGGCTGCCCCCACTCAGTTGAAACGCAATATGAATTGGGGAATTTTCATTGACTATGAATAGCAGGAAATCTTAAAGAGGAAAAGCATTTCCTTTCATTGGCTGCAGAGGCTGTTAGTTGCTTTCTAAGTCATGACACACACTTCACCTCCTCATTTAAATTTCAAAGAATTGCAAAGGCTGGATTCCTTTCCATTTCAACAGGTGAGGAAACTTGTGGGGGGGGTCAAAGTAATTGTAACTTTTAGAGGGTGCATTTTAAAAGAACTGTTTCACATACATATAAATAGTTCATTCAGTCATAATTTGAGCCAAGGCATTTAATAAGCACATGATTTATGAATGATTTTAAGCTTTTTAGAATCCTTTCTTTATATATTCTTAAATCTACAAAACAATACATGAAGAGCCTTAAAGTAAAATCCAAGGACAAATACTGATAGGTGAAAGGTTCGGCGCAGTGAAGAAAAGGAGAGCCAGGCTAAATTTCTCAAAGGAAGGGAAAGTTTATTGCTCCCCGGGCGGACCTCACACACCCAAGGTGGGAGTCAGTGAAGCCGCGCGTTGTTAGGGGGAGGCTGGGTTTTATAGGGTGAGGAGAGGTCAGGTGGGAAGTTGGGCTCCTTTGGCGGGAAAACTTTGTAGGGCGCGAAAAGGTTCCTGGGGCAGGTAGAGGTTCTTAGTCTGAGAAGAGACACGTAGCGGGAGGGGGGAGGCTCATTGTCAGAGTCCTCCAGGCAGGTATCCGCATTCCTGCCCCCCAAGTGGGCTTCCTGGTAGACTTTTGCATTCCGGCCTTCTGCATGGCCCTTTCAATAGGAAAGTGTATAAAGCACTGAAAGTTGCTCTATTTTTCCCTGAAAATATTTTCATTTTCGCCATAATTTGCCCATTTATATGCTTGTTCTTCATTGTCTCCTACTGCAGTGTAAGCTCTGTAAGGATAGGGCCTTTGTTTTGTTTCTGATGAGCCTATAACAGTGTCTGATACTTACTAGGTATTTGATTATGTCGATGAATGAATAAGAGTGATGGATTGAATGATGGTTGAAAGGATCCTCTGGTCATTGACTTTGCCTGCTCCACTCCCATCCATGTTGTGTGACAGCCATCAGAAACTCTCCATGCTTCATCCTTTGCAGATGGAATAACATCTGAAAGCTATCCAACCTCACGGAAATTCATATTCCCTGAATTAACCTCAAATCTCCATCCAGCTCCATCCTCCGCTGTGTCCCCTGGGCATCTGCTTAGGCAGATTGACACATAAAATTGACCACCTCCCAACCCCCAAATTTCAGAAGGAAATCCTGCTGCTTCCTAGTCTCTGCCATCTATAGCCTTCAGAATTGAGACAGTGAATTTCTGTTCTTTAAGCCTCCCAGGCTGTCGTCCGTTATTATAAGCTAGTACACTGGCTTGAAGACCCCAGATAGAGAGGTAGGCCTGGAGGTGAGGAGCCCCTGTGGAATCGTGAACTTCCTGTCTGTCCCCTTTAAGATGGCTCAAAGTAGGTGGGAGTGAAGCAAGAGTCTCATCCTGGGGGTGACCAGTGAGTCTGAAGCACTGTAGTGGCTAAGCTAGGGACTCACCCCATCCCCACCCCCCCAAATACCTACTAATGGTTAATGGTCTCAGTGTTACTGTCCTGCTCATGGGACCACACTATCTTAATCTCTGTGGTTTGGTCTTTTCCTCTGTCCTTTTCCTGCCTCTAGGTGATTAGTTTCCTTCAAGTTATTTGGGAACTGATCAAGATTTCAAGCTACAGGTGAAGGTGACAAAGAGCCTGAGAGTCATTTCAAGTGGATCCATCCAAGTCACTGTGGAGGAGATTCCAGATCCAGAGCTCCATGCTGGAGACTGGGACCTAGCCTGTGAGTACACTGTGGACTTAGAGTGAGTTGTTTCATAGCAATCAGCTGTGTTAAGTGTTTGTGACTGTGGTGTCTGTGGCATATCAGAGTGGGATTGTCGACCTTGACTGGGAGTATAGGTACTTGTGTCTATTTGTCTTCTAAAATAAATGTGGGTACTTCTCTTTTCCAGCTTTAATGAGATATAATTGATTTGTGACATAAGTCTAAGTGATGTGGTTTTTCGAGTTGGGGGGTCCTTGGGTTCACTCTGGGAAAAGTTTCACCAGAGCTCCGTTTGAGCGGCACGCGGCGAGTTTCTCCACAAGGCAGAGATGGTAGTTATATTTAAAGGGCAGGTTTATTAGTAAAGGGCTAGGACAGTAAAAGATACTTGCATAGACACTAGCAGGCAGGAAGAGCTGCCCCTTAGTGGGGGCAGTGTGAGGTTTTATTCTCTTCTTTTGGTGGGGAGGGGCTCATCTTTGCAAGTGGTGAGATTGTTAGATTTTTGCTAATTTTGGACAACTATGCAAAACCAGGAAGGGATCAGAGATTCCAGGGTGGGGAGTGAAGATCCAGGGTGGGCCCAATCGCTATATCTTTACCCTCAGGTCTGTGTTCCACTCCCTATAGCAGTCTGATCCTGCTTGGTTCCTATGCCTTATGATAAGGCACTGGTGCCTAAGGGTCATAACCTCTGTAGCTGGGTTAATGGTCATGTTATTTTCCTCTACCCCCACCTCCTTGTGCGTCAGGTTCTGGTCTTGGGGCACCTCCTTTCCAGTCTTTCTATTCTTGTCCTCCGTCATAAGGAGTGCAGTGTGAAATGATCACAGTGAGGTTTGGTGGGTTCTTGTCTTGCCCAGTTTTAACTTGTTGAAATGATGTGACACAGAAATGGACAAGGGAGATGTCCGGCTTGAATTACTCTGGAACGTGTTCTTTATTGTCTTTTGTTAGCAATCGTCTTTTCACTAAGGTTGATCTACATACTGTGAATTATTTCTATGAACTGGAATGTTCTGGAATTTGCGTGTTTGTAAGCAGATGAGTAGCTCCATGCAGAGTTGCTTTTAGCTGACTAGCCTCCTGAGCATGCGCTGACCTTCCCTGAATGCTCTGGCATCTTGTCCCCCTCCTGAAATACAAGTTACCACCCCTTCCCCGTGACGCAGGGATTCTTCACCGGGGCTCTGCTCACATGGGATAGGTTGGGGGCTGTACTGTGCTCTGTAGATGTCGAATGAACCCCTAGATTACTCAAGATAACTCCTACATGTCCCTTGGGGGCCAAAATAACCCTGGCAGAGAACCACTGAGAGGAGAGGAGACAGTTGGTGGCAGGATGAGTTTATTCTGCTGGCTGTGATGAATTTTATGTATTTCCCACTAGTCAAACGAAGTAAGACAGAGTTCTCAAATATTGACTGGCTTCAAGATTCTGGGTTTCTCAACTTTTCCTCCTTAGGTTTATTCTCTTTGGCCCTGTCTGCACATAAAAAAGGAGGTTATTAGTAATGCTGCTCTAGTAACAGCACTGCTTTGAAACTGCCCCACAAATATATTTGTATTATAAGTTGATTTTGTTTTCTCTGGTGTTAACTGTGTTCTCACTAAAATGAGCCCGCCTGAGTCATAATATCTGGTTGCTGGGTGTGGCTTCCTCCCAGCAGGCCCACGTCCTACCTGGACTGGCTTATTCTCAACACGGGCACTTTGCCTACTAAGACTTAAAATGGGGGGAAAAAATAGCCACATTTATTTAGTCACTAACGTTTTACGTGAGTGTGGGAGTTTTCCTAGTATTTTTATTTATTTGCTTTTTACGAACAGAAGGATGAAAGTTAACCTTCTAAAGTCCATTAGGTTGTATCTTTCAGATAGCTGACTGCTTTTACTTTAGCCAAAAAAAAAAAAGCCCACAAAGCAGTGGTCTGCAGAAGTGGGTCTTCTTGCCTTGTTGTTTCCCACATCATGCCATGTTCTTCTGTTTAAGCCACAGGAGAAACAGATGGGAGTCACCATTTGATTTTGGTTTGACAGTGTAACACCTGCTTCACCTAGGAGAATATTATAGTCTTGGTGCCCCAGGGCCACTGAGCATGTCTTGTTCAGAATCCCGGTCCTTCATCTCTTTTGTCATAAAGACAACACTCGTCATTTCTGGAAGCCCAATACCCCAGAACGACCAGAATGTCACCAAGAATGGCCCCAGATTGTTGAGAGTTACAGAAGATAGCATGGGCTCAAGGGAAGTCCTTAGCTGAAAGTCTACTGCCACACAGTGAGGATTCAGCATTGGAGCTACTTCTGGTACTGCTCTCCTCGTTATCATCCACGCAGTAGCTCCCTCATGTTTTAGTGTGACCATTTTTAAGATCAGGTAGAGCAGAATGAGGAGTAAATGTAGGAGGAGGTGAGGGCAAATTCTGAAAGCAGCACTTCACTGGGGCCCTGTGCTCTACTACTTTCACTCCCCTCCACAAAGTAGTTTCCTGGAAACCATTGGCTGTCAACTCAATATTTTGCTGTTTACTGTTCTCTCAAATAGCAGTCGGTAACTGCTGACAGTCCTACCTTTGGGGATTTGTAATACAATAAGATAAAAATAAAACCCTTTTACTACCAAAGATCAAAATGAAATCTGTCTCTTAGTGTAGCAACTAGAATGGAAATGCTACAGATTTCTTATTAATCCAACGATTATTACCTTCATGATCCCCTTTTTGAAGGAAAACAAACATTTCTCTTGAGGACAAAGTGGAATAGAAAGGTGCCTCATAAAGCCTACACATGTAAATTCAGTGGGCATGTGTGGCTAATTCTTGCTATATTGGAAATTTCCACCATCAGAGAAATTGTGTTTGATTGGACTGATCCGTATCATAACTGATGTGTGCAAATTGTTCTATTATTTCTCCAATTAATGTGGAAGACACAATAGCACTGAAAAGCTTGTTTTGCGGTTCACCATCTTCACCAGGAACCGGGCTAAGTCCCTGGTAGTCTTAAACTCAGGATGCCCCAGGCTGAGTCTTTCATTAACATTCAAATAACCTTAAGACATACAGGGCCTCTTAGAGCCTTATCAGGGCCTCTAAAAGTATCTCCAGCCACTTAGGCTAACCAGTAACCCTGGAACTGACTACCAGGAAATGTGGGTGACAGCTCTGATGACTGTGTAGTGTGTGCATGTGCCGTGGTTAAGCTAGCATCAAAGCATCTTACAGCTGAGAAAAAATTGCAGCAAACTCATACACAGGGTCCCTGAGTGCCCTGTTGCACTAGCCCTAGGCCCAAAGGGATGGTCTTCAACCAGATGAGGGAAATAGCACATCTCAGGACAGAACAGAAAAGGCTGAAGGTACGGAGCAACTACGAAATTATTTCAATCTGTATTTTTGTTCAAATGGAGGCAAGGGTGGGGAGGATTAGGGGCCAAAAAAGTGAATTTATCTTCAGCAAAACAAGCCCTGGGTGTCAGGCTGGCTTTACTAAGGGGACAGCGACCTGGGATTCCTAGAGGAGGAGGTGGTGGGAGAAGAAAAGCTGGCCGCTGAATGCACAACACCAAGAACTGGACTTGTAGTGGTGACCTTAATGCAGTGTAGATACATGGAGCGTTTTAATGATGCGGACCTGAATGCAGTGTCACTTCGATCAGAAAAAAAGGTGCTTTATGGTCATAGAAGAGCAAATAAAGGAATGGGCCGGTTTTCTTGGGCTGGTATTTGCATGCGTGTAAGAACAGAGTCTGGGCATTTTCTGAATGAAGTGGAGGGGGGCGGTTAAGAGTGATTCCACTCGCCCCAAGTCTTTCCAGAAGATCCTCATGAATGGGTTTTGAAAAATGTGACTTCTCCATTCTCAGCCACTGAGTATCTCAGCGGAGGATGTGAAGTCTCTTTGTAGCAGGCATCTTTAAGATGGAATTGGGACTGTTCTAGGATTTTCTGGGAGTTTGAATTCGAAATCAATTGTAATATTGATATATTATACCAGTCCAAATGCATGCTCTGTTTTAGGTTTCTACAACAGAAAATTCTTGTTCTTTAAGGAACATACTATTTTATACTAAGAGAAATAAATGAAAACAAAGATTAGGTCCCACTCGCTCCAGTACTGTGTTATCAGAAGAAATTAAAACAAAAAAGAAAAAAAGACTCTGAATTGGCGAAGAACACCAGGTAATGCTATGCATTGTAAGATGCTCGCCTGCATGCCTAGCCTCTACCCCCTAGGTATCAGTGGCACCCTCCTCAACCCAGAATGGCCTGCACACTGCCAGATGTCCTCTGGGGATGAGTAGCGCCATCTGCTGAGGCCCACTGAGTCAGGAAAGCACTTTGACTGCATCACTTTTATACCTCCCCTTACCCTTAAAAAAAAAAAAAAAAAAAAAAAAAAGGCAACCTGGGGCTAGGATTTTGAATTTTCTGCCTTGTTTCTCCAGACAAGCAAGAGGAATTCTCCTTTATGAGAGAAAACCAGAGGCAAGTTTCTAGTTTATATGAACAGAGAGTGTCAGTGATCCTGCTATGCACTGAAGGGGTTTCTGGATAGCAGCTACCTTGTCGCTTTCTCCTGTCCTTAACACTCATTCTTGGCAGAGGCATGAGGGGCCGTGGATGATGATGTATCTCAAGTACAGTCCTCCTGGTTTCCTTATTGCTTTCACTTCTACCTTCCATGGTGCTTCTACAGGGCCGAGAACTGGAGCACCCCAAATTCTATATATGGGTGTAAGTCTTAATAGGTCTATCTGTTGTCAGGAAGTCCACTGAGATTTGTCAGGGACTTGCACAGGACCTGGTACTTGACTCAATTAGAGTCGGCGTCCTTGATGCCATCAGGGTCCATGTGGGACAATTGGGAATGTGCTCTGGATACATAATGTCCATAGTTATTCATGGGACAAATGGAGGTTGTGGGCTTGGATGCTAATATTCTATCCAGGTCAGACCGCATGACTGCTCAAGCAGTCTTGCGGGGTGGCAAAAGGCCACGGCTCTGCGGGGTGCATGACCTGCCCAGTCCTCCTTGTTGGTCAGTGGTGACAGCCCTAACTGGCCGACTCCTAAGACTTTCAGGCTCCCTGAGCTGCAACCGACTCTCCACAATCCCAAGTGCCAGGTGTGTGAGCCTAGAAAGGGGACCTCATGATGACAACCCCACTGTGCTTTCTCCCAGTGCACCCACTCTTGGAGAGCATGGACCTGGTTCCGGAGGGCGATCGCCAATCACCCATCAACATCCGGTGGAGGGACAATGTCTACGATCCAGCCACCTGCCTCCACGTCTGGAATAACAGGTATTCTTTCCTCGTGGAATTTGAAGATTCTTCAGCTAAATCAGGTGAAAGGCAGCCTGGTGGTCTCACCTCGGGTGAAAGGGATGGTTGTAATCAGCACAGACCATGACACTGACCCCATCAGCTCATCTGTCTCCAGAACTCTTCTCCATCTTGCAAACTAAAACTATTTGGCCATTAAACAGTAGTTCCCAATTTCCCTCCCTGCCCCTTCCTTCCCCACACCCCCCTGCCAGGCTGTGGCAATGATCATTTTACTTTCTGTCTCTATGAATTTGACTACTGGGTACCTCATGTAAGTGGAATCATACAGTATCTGTCCTTTTATGACTGGGTGGTTTCAGTTAGCATAATACCCTCAAAGTTCATCCATGAATGTCTTTCCTTCCTAAGACCAATTAACATCATTGTATGCACAGACCACTTTTTTTGAATAAAATTTAGCAGTCACTTGAATTGCTACCACTTTCGGCTATTGTGAAAAATGCTACTATGAGCATGGATGTACATGTGTATTTTCAACATGCTGTTTTCAATTCCTTTGGCTGTGTGCCCAGAAGCTGGATCATCAGTGTTCTTTTTGATTGTATGAAAAATGTCCCTTCTCTTTTTAATGCATGTTTCCTTCTAGTATGTTAGCATTTTCTATTAATATCTATACTGTATGTATAGATTCTGTAATTGCTAAAGAAAATAGGGCATGTAATTAAAGTTTTACCTGGAAAATTTTTTGTTTGTGTTCAATCTGTGCTAGTCTTCTGCTTGGTGACTTTAAAAATGACTTCTGTACAATAGTAGTATTATATAGTCAGATGTAAATGATAAACATGGAATATAGAACAAAGGGATATTTCACTAAGAAAAAGACATTTTAGGGTCTCCCTTGTGGTGCAAGGGGTTAAGACACAATGTACGAAGCTGTCCGCAGCCACTGCAGCCAGAGTTTGATCCTCAGCCAGGGAGCTACCCACAGGTACAGTAGATGTCTCCTGTCTCCCCCGCTGCTCCCCTCAGCAGTGTATTTCAGTACATCTGCCTGTTCAGCTCCCCACTCTGTCTCTGGTGAATCCTCTCACCCCCCCGCCCCCACATCTTTGGCCCGTACCTGGTTCTTGTATACATAAATAAATCTTAAAAAAAAAAAAAGACATTTTACATTTTTGGTCCCCTAATAAGATGCACATATTTTGTCATTCGTTGATTTATGTATTCGACATTTGCCTACCGCTTCCTAGGCACTGCATTAAGTGTAGGTGATGCTCACCTGATTCCTGATCTCACAGAGTTCATAGTCTGAGAGAAGCACACACAAAATTAGGATTTAAAGCAAGTATGATTTGGAAGGGGGTTTTAAAAGTACTGTAGGACCAAGAGGAGGGTGTGGCATGCACCACTCTTAGGAGTCTGATGATTTCACTAAGGAGGGGACATTTGCATTGGATATTGAAGGGTGAAAAGGAATTTGCCAAGAAGATAGAGAAGGGCATACCAGAAAATGGAAAAACGTGTGCAAAAGCAGTTGTTCCAAAAATGGCCGAAAAACAAAGTGGCAGGAATGCAGAACGCGGGTCAGTGAGAGGCAGGAAGAATGTCCAGCATGGAAGGCAGGCACATTAAACACTGGCTGTCTGTAAGCAAGGAAGTGGCATAACGCGACTTCATCTAATGGGTCGGTTAATTTGTTTAGATGAACGCAGGCACGGCAGCAGGACCACAAGGTCAGGTGAATCCAAGTGAGATGGGAGGAGGCTACGTGAAAACTGACAATGACAAGAAAAATTAAGTTTCTTCACGTGAGGCGGCGGCCAAGTCAACCGTCGAGTGTGTGTGGTAAGGGCGGGGTCGATGGTGACACCAGAAAGTTTGTGACTGACAGCGCAGGAGTGATTCGTGGGGAAATACAGAAACGCAGAAGGCAATAGAAGTTCTCCTCACGACCTGAAAATTCTTATAGAATAATTCTATTAGAATTTTTTAGAATTCTAACAGAATGCTGTTAGAATTTTTTAGAATTCTAGTAGAATTTTTTTAGAATTAGTGTTTTTAAGAATTCTACTAGAATTCCCTAATAGAATTTTTTCTATTAGGGAATTCTAATAGAATTTTCAGGGCTTCCCCGGTGGCGCAGGTGGTCGAGCGCCGCGCTGCAGAAGCTGCCCGCAGCCTCTGCAGTGCTGGTTCGATCCCGGCCGCCAGCGAGGGTCCCACATGGCACAGCAGTCCTCTCCTGCCGCCCGCTGCTCCCCTCAGCAGTGTATTTCAGTCCATCTGCCTGTTCTGCTCCCCGCTCTGTCTCTGGTGAATCCTCTCACCCCCCACTCCCACACCTCTGGCCTGTACCCCAGTTCTTGTGTGCATAAATAAACAAATCTTATTTTAAAAAAGAATTTTCAATAGGCGAAAACAAGAACATGGTCCCCCCCGCCGGCTCTCAAGCCAGAGCGCAGGCGTCCCCGGCACTGACCTGCGTGTGCGTGGACCTGCGCCCCCTCGCACGCACCGGTCGCCGGAAGAACGTCTGAGGGGCACCGCGACTTCCGGGCGCCACTGTCGGACGCCACTATCGCCATCTTAGCCTTGTCGAAGCAACATGGCTGACTTCAGGGGACCCAGATTCCCGAGTCCCCGGGCCCTGGCCGCCGCCATGCCGACCTGCCCGCTGCGGCTGGCCGTGGTGTGCTCCAGCAACCAGAACCGCAGCATGGAGGCGCACAACATCCTGAGCAAGCGGGGCTTCAACGTCCGCTCCTTCGGAACCGGCAGCCATGTGAAGCTTCCCGGCCCGGCGCCTGACAAGCCGAACGTGTACGACTTCAAAACCACGTATGACCAGATGTACACGGATCTCCTGCGCAAAGATCGGGCTCTCTACACGCAGAACGGCATTCTGCATATGCTGGACCGCAACAAGCGCATCAAGCCTCGACCGGAGAGGTTCCAGAATTGCAGGGATCCATTCGATCTGATCATCACCTGTGAGGAGAGAGTGTACGACCTTGTGGTGGAAGACCTCAACTCCAGAGAGCAGGTGACCTTCCAGCCGGTGCACGTCATCAACGTGGACATCCCGGACAGCCTGGAAGAGGCGACCCTGGGAGCCTTCCTCATCTCCGAGCTCTGCCAGTGCATCCAGCTCATGGAAGACATGGAGAACGACATCGACGAGGTGCTGCAGGAGTTCGAGGAGAAGAGCGGCAGGGATTTCCTGCACACCGTCTGCTTCTACTGAGTGGCCCCGCCGGGCGCTCCCGCGCGCCATCTTTGGAACCTCATTGGCTTGAGACTGTTTCTTGCCCCTCCCCCCACCTGCTTGTTCTGTAGGTAGTGTGCTGGTGGACAGTGCTTTCACCCGATGAGCTGTTTGCATGTTGATTAAGATACTGCGAAACCCCAGACTGAAAATTTTCTATCCCGCTCGGTTATATTTTCCGTGTGATGAACTGTTAAAAAAAAAAAAAAAAAAAAAAAGGACAGCTCCGAGATGGAGTCTCTCAGAAAGGACACTGGGACTTAAAACCAAATCTAACAGCAGTTTTACCACCGTGTCACCTGTTGCGGTTTCAAACTGCAGGACTGTCCGGACTGAGCGCTCATGAAGTCATCTGCAACATGCCATGTATGCCGCGTTTGTGGTGCATGTCTACTTCCGAATTGGATGTTGCGCAGTTGGTCAATCTTAATAAAGTTTTTACATCTTCAAAAATAACTTCCTTAAATTTTTATTTAATGACAAAAAAAAAAACCCGACAAAAACTGGTTTATTGGACATCGCTTCCATACCTGCGTGACTTTCCCTGTGTGTTCTTCCCCCGCCCCCCCTTACCGGGGACTGTGCCTTATTTCGAAGGAACTTGCAATTTTTCCATTCAATGGGTGCTGCGGCTAAGGGGGGTGTAGGCCCAGTGGCCCACAGTGGACGGTTACAAACCAGGGTTACCTCAATATAAATAATTTTTTTAGATGTGGAATAGTTTGGGAAATAGATGGTGCTGGTTTATAAAAAAACACATCTTAGCAAGCGGTTATCCTTCAAAGATGTGTATCTTCAACCCCTCTTTTAATTCCTATAGGGAGTATCTATTTTTTTAAAGATGAGCATCTTTCATTTTCATGCAACTTGGTTTTAGATATTAGGAGTTCTTGCAAATTAAGTTGGGAATGGACAGAGGTTGATCCTCAGTGAAATGTTAGTCACTTTGCTATATAACTTTCATTTTTCTCCCTAAAGCTCTTTATTCCAAAGTAATAGTTAAATTTTTTCCTAGTTTTATTAAGAAATAATTGACCTGACCAAAGATCTGAGGCAGAGTGGGGAGAGGGGAGGGGTCGAGGTGGGAGGGAACAGCACAAGGGATTATGGTGGAGGATCCTGGGTGCTATGGGCGGTGGGAGAGGAAATTAAATACTGTCGCAAAATGAGCGACAGTGTTAAGAAAATAAACAAATTTAATAAAAAATAAAAATAAAGACTGAACAATGACATTTTAAAAAAGAATTTACATATATTGGGCCTTCTTGGTGGCCTAAGGGTTAAGTCTCAGCACTGCCACTGCTATGGCCTCACTTTATCCCCTGCCAGGGAGCTCACCCACATATGGAGCAGCAGACCTCTCCTGTCTCCCCCAGTCCTCACCTTAGCAGTGTATTTCAGTCAGTCTGCCTGTTCTGCTCCCCACTCTGTCTCTGATGAATCCTCTTACTCCTCACACCTCTGGCCTACACCCTAGTTCTTCTGTGTATAAATAAATCTTTAAAAAAAAATAAAAAAGGAAACAGATTTACTCTCTAAACAACTTTCCTATATATCATACAGCAGTGGTTTGCTGTAGTCATGGTGTACATTACATCCCTAGTACTTATTTATCTTGTAACTGGAAATTTGTACCTTTTCACCACCTCCCCCAACTTCTGCCTATGACAACTACAAGTCTGATCCTTTTTTCTATGAGCTGTTGTTTTTTTCTTAATATTCCACATATAAGTGAGATATAGTATTTGTCAGACTTATTTTCACTTAGCCTAATGTCTTCCAGGTCTATCCATGTTGCAAATGGAAGCATTTCCTCCATTGAGAATCATATTGCATCATATATAAAGACATATACCACAATGTCTTTATCCATTCATTGATCAAAGTTTGCTTTCATGTTCTGACTATCAGAAGTAAAGAAGCAATGAACATGGGGGTACAGATAAATTTTTGAGTTAGAATTTTCATTTCCTTGGGATACATTGCCAGAAGTAGAATTGCTGGGTAGTTCCATTTTAATTTTTGAGGATCCTCCAAACTGTTTTCCATCGTGTCTGCAACAGTTACTGTCCCACCAGCAGTGCACAGGGCTCGCTTTTCTCCACATGGATGCCAACATTATTTGTCTTTTTGATGATAGCCATTCTAACAGGTGTGAGGTGATGTATCGTGACTTTAATTTGCATTTCCCTAATGACTAGTAAAGCTGAATATCTCTTCATGTACCTGTTGCAAAAAATCTGTTCAGGTCCTTTGCCCATATTATTGATTTTTTTTTGTTGTTATTTAGTTGTATGAGTTTCTTATACACTTAGAATATTAGTCCCTTAAGAGATAATTTACACATATTTTTCCCATTCAATAGATTGTGTTTTTACTTTGTTGATGGCTTCAGCTTTTGCTGTACAGAAGCTTTTTATTTCAGTGTAGTCCCACTTGTTTTTTATTTTGTAGCTTCTGCTTTGAGTGTCATATCCAAAAAAAAAAAAAAATCACTGCCAAGATCCATGTCACGGAGCTTTTTTTTCTATTTCCTTCTAGGAGTTTCATGGTCTCACATTTAAGTCTTTAGTGCTTTTCTGAGTCTTTTTTTTTTTTTGGAGTGGTGTCAAATAGGGGTGTTTCATTCTTTCACATTTGAATAACCAATTATTCCAGCACCACTGTGCTGAACAGGCTGTCTTTTCACCACTGAGTATTCTATTTAACTTCCAGGTTCTCTGGTCCATTGGTCTATGGAAGTCCATACTGTTTTGTTTGTTTTTTTTAAGATTGATTTATTTATGGATTGATTGATTGATTTATACAAGCACTGGGTGCAGTCAGAAGCGCGGGAGGGTGAGAGAATTCACCAGAGCCAGAGCAGGGAGCAGAACAGGCAGAAGGACCGAAGTACACTGCTGAGGGGAGCAGCGGGCGGCAGGAGAGGTCTGCGTGCCATGTGGGACCCTCGCCGGGCAGCCGGGGATGGAACCGGTGCTGCAGAGGCTGCGGACAGCTCAGCCACCCAGCACTCAACCGCTGCGTCACCGGGGAGGCCCCATACTGTTGTTTTTTTTTTAAAAGATTTATTTATTTATGCATACAGGAACTGGAGTACAGGCCAGAGATGCGGGGGTGGGAGTCGGGGGTGAGAGGATTCACCAGAGACAGAGAGGGGAACAGAACAGGCAGACTGACCGAAATACACTGTTCCGAGGGGAGCAGCGGGCGTGGTAGGAGAGGTGTGCTGCGCCATGTGGGTTTCTCCCTGGCCGGCTGGGATGGAACTCATGCTGCAGAGACTGCGTTTTGCTTCATTGTGCGGTGCTTAACCCCTTGCACCACCAGGGAGGCCCCCCGGTCCATACTGTTTTTGATGATGATGACGCCTTTATGCGATAACTCAAAATTCAGAAGTGTGATGCCTCCTGTATTGTTTCTTTTCAAGATTTCCTTGGCTGTTCTAGGTCTTTTCTCGCTGCACATAAATTTTTTCAACTTATGTAAAAAGTGCTGTTGGAATCTTGGTAGGGATTGCACTGAATTTGTGGGTAGTTTTTGGTAGTATTGCTATTTTAGCAATATTCCTCTAATTCATGAACTCAGGATATGTCTTTGGTTTCTTTCACCAATGACTTGTGGTTTACAGAATAGAGGTCTTTCACCTCCTTGGTTAAGTTTATTCCTAAGTTTTGTATTGTTTGTGCCAAAGTAATAATAACTGCTGCGCCTGAGAAAATGTATGCCTGTTTTTTATTTCTATCGCATTTTGTATCAGATTATTATTTACGGTGGCTTTATCTTAGGTGAGGAAACATGTAGATATTGTAGGTTACATAAAGCAATTGGTTTATTTAAAGCCTTCTTTTTGGTCCTGTGTAATCCTTCTTTCAATATTATTTCAGTTACATGTGGTGCATAAGAATGCCGTCAAGTTAGAAAGCTTTGAGGATATAGCAGCTAAAGGAAGATGGTTTGACTGCAATAGGAATAATTTTAAGCAGAAAATAATCTTACCAAATTTAAACAATGCACTGTATTTTAGAATGAAATGATAGGCTATTACAGAATTATTTAAGAAAGTGGGGGTCAATGTTGAGTAAGATAAACAATGTTAAACATACAAGATTGTTAAGAATATATTTCAAGGGCCTCCCCGGTGGCGCAGCCATTGAACGCTGGGTTGCCAGGGTCCCACATGGTGCGCAGACCTCTCCTGCCACCCGCTGCTCCCCTCAGCAGTGTACTTTGGTCCTTCTGCCTGCTCTGCTCCCCGCTCTGGCTCTGGTGAATTCTCTCACCCTCCCGCACTTCTGACTGTACCCAGTGCTTGTATAGATATCTAGATAGATATCTAGGTAGATAGATAGATAGATAAATAGATAAATAGATAGATAAGATCAGGACTGAGATCTGTTTGCTCCTTGATGGAGGTCTGGTGGGCTTCACTTTCTATCTCTTCCTCATCCCAAGAATGAAGCCACTGCAGTAGGTGCCATCTGTACGTGCTTCTGAGGGAAATGTACTCAATAAGAGATTGATTCACACCAGGTTCGCAGACCTCCAAGGTTAACTATAATCAATCACCCAGCAACACTGGACACTGTGAAGCCACATGACTGCAACTATTAGTGGGAACTGGGCCTCCAAGTTTACCTTCACTGAAAGAAAAATGCTGTTGGTGTACACAGAGGACACGCTATATCTAGGAATGTATGAAGACTGTCCTCAATTAAATTCATGTTACTGATGCTAAAAGCTAATATCTCAATGGCTTTCATTTCCATGACAGCAACATTGCTGAAAGTGACATTGGCAGCCATTCTAGAATAAAAGACCCGCCGCCTTTGCAGAGGACGGCGAGGCCGTGGAGCTGTAGCGGCCACAGAGCAGGACGCGCGCGTGTCGGGGGCCCCCGGCGAGGCGGAGAGGACGCGCCCTCGCGCCGTTTCCCGCGGGTTTCCCAGCCCCTGGGCCGCGGGGCCGCTTCCCGCCCGGCGGGGCCGCGTGCGAGGCCCGAGGGAGCCGCGAGGCCCGAGGGAGCCACGCGCCGGCCACCCGCTCCCGGCCCGGCCCTGCCCGCGCGGCGCCGCCCGTCACGTGCGCGACCCCGTGCCCGGGCCCACGTCAGCGCAGCCCGCGTTCTCGCGCCCATCACACTGGCCGGCCCGGCTTCCAGAACGCCCGCCAGCCGCCCGCCTCGACGCCGCAGGCCGCGGCGCCATCATGGGCGGCTACCTGAGCCGGCTGCTGAGCCGCGCCAAGACCGCGCTGCTGCCCCGCGCCGGCCCGAGCCCCGGCCCGCGCCGCCGGCCCGCCTTCCGCCGCCTGGAGGCCGAGCCGTGCCCGGTCGTCTACCTGCCGCCCGAGCCCTGGCTGCGCTCGCAGCCGCTGCCCACGCTGCCGCCCGACGGCGACTACGCCGTCCTCCTCGGGGCCGCGGGCCCCGACGCCTGCCTGCGCCCGCCGGGCGCGCCCGCCGGCGGCGCCGAGGGGCTCGACGTGGCGCTGCAGGCCCAGGTCTTCGCCCAGCAGTGGCAGTGGAAGGCCCGCTGCCCGCGGCGCGGCCGCAACCAGGTGACGCTGAAGATCGCGCGGCT